ATACGTAATGTTGCCTGTTGAGTTTTCAATTTATGATTCAATTTATTATACGTAATGTTGTCTGTTGAGTTTTCAATTTATGATTCAATTTATTATACGTAATGTTGTCTGTTGAGTTTTCAATTTATGATTCAATTTATTATACGTAATGTTGTCTGTTGAGTTTTCAATTTATGATTCAATTTATTATACGTAATGTTGTCTGTTGAGTTTTCAATTTATGATTCAATTTACTTATTATACGTAATGTTGTCTGTTGAGTTTTCAATTTATGATTCAATTTACTTATTATACGTAATGTTGTCTGTTGAGTTTTCAATTTATGATTCAATTTACTTATTATACGTAATGTTGTCTGTTGAGTTTTCAATTTATGATTCAATTTATTATACGTAATGTTGTCTGTTGAGTTTTCAATTTATGATTCAATTTATTATACGTAATGTTGTCTGTTGAGTTTTCAATTTATGATTCAATTTACTTATTATATGTAATGTTGTCTGTTGAGTTTTCAATTTATGATTCAATTTACTTATTATACGTAATGTTGTCTGTTGAGTTTTCAATTTATGATTCAATTTACTTATTATACGTAATGTTGTCTGTTGAGTTTTCAATTTGTGATCATAGCTGGTCGATTTTCAGTCCAACACTGACGCTACACTGCATTGCTATTGTATTATTTCCAGATAGTGGACATATTATCAAGAACTAAGATAACGTACATGCATTTCGATGAGCAAAAAGAGGTTTTCGCAAACCTTTTGAACAATGTAGCTTTTTGTAAGGCATTGTACAAATGCGCGATTTGTCTCACCGTGTACAACACAGTTGATGACTTGAGTCAGCATGTCGTTTATCATAATAAAAGAGTGAGTATTTACCCTTGCCGTGTGATGCCGGCTTAGAATAGCATCACCCACTTTACTTTCCTGTGGGTGTCGTAAGAAGCGACGATCGTATTTTTACAGCAGTTTACGCTCTGCCTACCCCGCAAGGGATATAGTCGTGATATATGTCGTTATGTTTTTCGAGAGCATGTATGTTTGTACGGACTACGGCTGCCATAGACTGACCCTGGCGACGTATAACGGACGCAGTCTGCGGCTGGACGAAAGTCTCCAAATCCTTGAGGTAGAATTAGATAAGATACGGTGGCATGTTCTGGGATTGTCAGAAATCCGAAGAGAGGGGGAGGACACGATAACCCTAGAATCAGGTCACCTATTCTACTTCAGGGAAGGGAGCGCACAATCCCAGGGTGGCGTAGGGTTCCTTGTCAATAAAGCTCTCTGTGACAACGTGGAGGAGATCAGCAGCGTCTCGAACAGGGTAGCGTACCTCGTACTGAAGTTGACCGAGAGGTACTCTCTTAAGGTCGTACAGGTATATGCGCCGACTTCGAGCAGCTCAGATGAAGAGGTGGAGGCCCTATACGACGACGTGTCGAAAGCCATACACCAAACCACTAAGACCCACTTCACTGTTGTCATGGGGACTTCAACGCTAAAGTGGGACAGGAGCACGGCGAATCAAGCTTGGGACCACATGGCTACGGAGCAGAAACCAGAGGGCCAAATGCTAGTCAACTTTCTTAGCAGGCAGGGGCTGTTCTGTATGAACACCTTTTATCAGAAAAAGCCCCAACGGAAGTGGACCTGGAAGAGCCCTGACGGCAGGACGAAGAACGAGATCGACTTCATCATGACGGATAAACGGCATATATTTAGGGATGTCTCAGTGATCAGTAGGTTCAATACCGGAAGTGATCACCGACTAGTAAGAGGCACCCTAAATATCAACTTCAAGCTAGAAAGAAACCGCATGGTGAAGCAAGTTCTCCGTCCCAATCTGCCCCAAGCCGGACATGAGGAGTTCCAACTTGAACTGAAAAATCGATTCGCTGCCCTGGAGACCCCGGCAAACGTTGACGAGGACCTAGAGAGCATAGTCGGGGCTATTCGCGAAGTGGGGACGAAGCATTTTCGTAAAGGCGAACAGACAAGAAGTCCAAACTTTCAAGCGAGGCCCTGGAACTGATGCGAATTAGACGGAAACACCAGAGGATGCATTGCCAGATCCCCAGTCACTTAACAAAAAGATCCGAAGTATGGTAAGACACGACCTCCGAAGCTATAACACTCGACTCGTAAAGGAGGCGATTGAGAAAAACCGAGGGTCGAAAGTTTTTACCAAGACACTGGGAAGGAGTCATCTGGCAAAGCTAACTACCTCGAATGGTGTAACTGTCACATCGGTTCCAGAGATTCTCGCTGAAATTGAGGACTTCTATGGAAATCTGTATGCCTCACATGCGAAAAAGCCTCCACCTGATGCGACCCCAGACCCAAGAGCTCCTCTCTCCGCCACTTTACAGAAGATCTCCCGGACGTAGATATAGACGAAATCGCGGCGGCTCTCAGACAGCTTAAGAATGGGAAGGCTCCGGGAAGACGGAGTGGCCTCTGAGCTACTTAAGGCCGGTGGAAAACCTGTCCTCGAGGAGCTGAAAAGGCTTTTCAACTCTGTAATAGCCAATGGGACAACCCCGAAGGCGTGGAGCAGAGGTGTAGTGGCATTGTTTTTCAAAAAGGAGACAAAACGCTTCTCAAAACTATAGGCCGATCACACTTCTGAGCCACGTCTATAAGCTGTTCTCGAGAGTCGTCACGAATCGTCTGGCATCAAGATTTGACGCCTTTCAGCCACCGGAACAGGCCGGGTTTCGTAAGGGCTTCAGTACCGTGGACCACATCCATACTGTAAGGCAGGTTATACAGAAGACAGAGGAGTATAACCAACCACTGTGTATGGCTTTGTGGACTACGAAAAGCCTTCGACTCTATCGAAACCTGGGCTGTTTTGGAGTCCTTGCAGCGGTGCCAAGTCGACTGGCGGTATGTGGAGGTGCTGAGAAGCCTTTATCAAATGGCTACGATGTCCGTTCAAGTACAAAACCATAATACAAGACCCATCCAACTGCTCCGTGGTGTAAGACAGGGTGACGTTATATCCCCGAAACTCTTCACCAACGCATTGGAGGATGTCTTCAAAACTCTACAGTGGGATGGACTGGGCATCAACGTCAACGGCGAAAGTCTCACGCATCTCCGCTTTGCCGACGACATAGTCATAATGGCCGAATCGCTGCAGGACCTGCAAAAATGCTATCTAGTCTTAACTCTGCCTCGAGACGTGTTGGACTTGGGATGAACTTGGATAAGACGAAGGTCATGTTCAATCAACACATAATCCCCGAGCCGGTCTCCGTCGAAGGTGTAGTCCTTGAAGTTGTCCAGAAATACGTGTACCTTGGGCAAACTTTGCAGATGGGAAGAGACAACTTTGAGGCTGAAATCACCAGAAGAGTGCAGCTTGGTTGGGTAGCATTTGGAAAGCTGCGTCACATCCTCGAATCATCTTTGCCACAATGCCTTAAGACCAAGGTGTTCGATCAATGCGTCCTACCAGTCATGACCTACGGAGCCGAGACGTGGAACTTGACAGTAAAACTGGCCCACCGGCTACATGTCACTCAGAGAGCTATGGAAAGGTCTATGCTTGGTATCTCTATAATGGATAAAGTCCGGAATGAGGCCATCCGAAAAAAGACCAAAGTGACGGACATAGTCTGGAAGTGTAGCAAGCTGAAGTGGCAGTGGGCTGGCCACATCTGTCGTACAACCGACGGACGGTGGAGTAAGCGGGTTCTCGAGTGGAGGCCACGCCTCGGCAAGCGTAGCGTTGGACGCCCTCCGGCCAGATGGACCGATGACTTGAAAAAGGCGGCTGGTAGCGACTGGATGGCAAAAACGGGAGATCGTGCCTTATGGCGTTCCCTGGGGGAGGCCTACGTCCAGCAGTGGACTGCAATAGGCTGAAATAGAAATAGAAATAGTATGTTTGTAAAGTATGGCCAACGATACGAGATAACTAATGTAAACAACTTTTGTATGACTCGGTGACAGTTATTACAATCTGTCCTTATCTGTCATATGGTATAATGTCAGCTGTCTCTTTCAGATTTGTTTACACTTTTTATCTCGTCTAGTTGGCCTTACTTTATGTATGTGGGCATGTATGTAGACAAGAAATTCGTTTTCACGGGCTACAGCCCAAACGGCTGGGCGGATCTTGACATGTGAGGTGTCGTTAGATTCATCTCAGCGACATGCTATATTAAAAATTCATAAATTCAAGATGGTGGATTTTTGCTTGTTTATTTTTATACAGGATGTAAAAAAATCAACTGCATATATTGTAACTTGTGAACCAGCCCATGAAACTGAACAATTATCCCCAAGGAACATAGGTTGAATTATGAAAAAAAATTTGGACCTCCCGTACAAAATGGACCAGCCGACCAAGTTAATTTGTAAGGGAGGACCAACATTTTTTTTCTGATTTCGACCTATGTTTCTTGGGGAAAGTTGTTCAGTTTCATGGTCTGGTTCACCCCTTTAAATATATGCAGTTGTTTTTTTTACACCTTATATGTATGATTTTTCAGATAAAATTCCCGCACTTATGTAAGATATGCAAAGACAGGTTTGAAACCGAAGAGGATTTGGAGGCTCACAGCAGCCTCAAACACTGGTACAAATATAAGTGCCCCAATTGTAAGGAAATGCATTATACACTGTAAGTATATTTGTACCATAACAGCCACAACAGTCCACTGCTGGACGTGGGCCTCCCCCTATCCGGGGGTATTGTCATACTCATCACGCTTGGCAGGCGGATTGGCGAGCGCAGTGCAAGATGTTGCATTCATAAGGAACGCTGCTGCCCATTCCCCGTCATGGGTTACCATGGTTTAGATTCCCGGTCGACGCATGACAATTTTTCAATTGTTATGTATCTGAATGTTTACTATTTTGTAGAAATTTTTCCACAAGATAGTAATTTTTGAACACTTGGTGTTTTAATCAAACACTAGATATTGATATTAACTTTTTGGTTACAAAGTTAATACAAACGAAGCAAGCGGAAAAAATTCACGCCACCGATGGGATTTGAACCCACTTCTTCTGACAAGCCGGGTCAGACGTGTTACCTTTACACTACGGCTGGCTCTACCCGAGGTGGCGAAATTATGATCCACTTGCTTCGTTCATATATTTTTGTCACTTGACTACTTACGGGTAGCTTAGCGCCATCTATGACTTTTTAGTAGAACTATACTGTCACTCAACTGACAACATTACGTATGTACAAGTTGACGAGAGATGGAGCTTTTTCCGATTTGTGAATGTTTACTATTTTGTAGAAATTTTTCCACAAGATAGTTTTTTCCGCTTGCTTCGTTTGTATTAACTTTGTAACCAAAATGTTAATATGTTATGTATCTATCCATGTGTGTGTTCCCATGCTGTAATTACTTTACAGGTTATCACTAATGAAATGCAACAGGTGCATGAAATCTGAGGAATGGAATCAGTTCAACCTTCTCCCCGTTCCACCGCAAAAGATGTACGATTTTCCTAAACAGTGGTGCGGGGAAAAAATTGACGCTTTCAAATGCGAACGCTGCAAGATATACTTCAAGACGGAGAAGAAATGGCAACTTCATATGGATGGACATGAGGTAATAATAACATTTTCAAAAAGTTGTTCCTTATCACTAGCCGGTTCTGAGTGTTCGCTATCGGTCACTAGTAAAATTTCACCCCATATACTTCAAGACTGAAAAGAAATGGGAACTTCATATGGATGGACGTAAGGTAATAACGGTAATAATAATATTTTCTTCCCACCGTAAAATATGTATGATTTTCCTCAAACTATGGTGCGGGAAGAAACATGACACCTACAAATGTGAACGCTGCAAGATATACTTCAAGACGGAGAAGAAATGGCAACTTCATATGGATGGACATGAGGTAATAATAACATTTTCTTCCCACCGCAAAAGATGTATGATTTTCCTCAAACTATGGTGCGAGAAGAAACATGATACGTACAAATGCGAACGCTGCAAGATATACTTCAAGACGGAGAAGAAATGGCAACTTCATATGGATGGACATGAGGTAATAATAACATTATCTTCCCACCGCCTTCTTCTTCTTTTCGTGTGGGACACCGAGTCGTTCAACGACCCGATGAACCCTGGTGTCACGAGTTTTTCAACCGCCTACTGCAAGTAGCAGGCCTCTGACATGGTTGTGTAACGACCGCCATCATAGACAGCAACCGGGACCGACGGCTTAACGTGCCCATCCGAAGCACGGAACCATCTTACTTGCGGACAATCAGGTGGTTCAGCCTGATAGTATGAAACCAAATGGCAAAATTATATGCAGGCACATGACATGAGGTATAGTACGGCCATTAGAATAATGCTATGAAATAAGGTCTACTATTCTTTGTTGACATGTCTTCTAGTATGGGTTTGACACCTGTCAAATATGGCCTATTCGAACGGCCGTACTTTTGCTCTCCATCCGTTTATTCGTTTATTTCTCCATCTCATATTTAAGTCGATTGAATTTCAGTTTTTCGTTTGTATGACCTTAAAACAACTTCATTCCATTGAAAAATTCACTGGCGACCGCCGGGACTTGAACCCGGGACTGTGGGGTACAGTATTTAGTTGTAAAAACTACTTCTATAGTTGATTTAGCACATCACTATTTACTTTTTCAAAAAAGCGGCCACCCACCAAACGTCAATTTAGTGAATACAATTAGAAATTCGACTATAGATGTCGCTTAGTCGTCGCTTCGAGACGAGCATCAAGATCTTGAGAAATTCATCAGGGTTCCCTAGGCGCCCGTAGCTTAGATGGCATAGCGGTGGGACGGTACCCCACGGTCCCGGGTTCATATCCCGGCGGTCGCTTGTGAAGTTGTCAATTTTCTTATTTTTAATTTATGAGAATAATATACGGTGAAATTTTACTAGTGACCGATAGCGAAAACTCAGAACCGGCTGGTGATAAGGAACAACTTTCCCCAAGGAACATAGGTCGAAATATGAAAAAAAAAAACAACCTCCCATATAAGACTGCCGATCAGCTGATTTGAATTACTATAAGAGGTCCAAATTTTTTTTCGTATTTCGACCTATGTTACTTGTGGAAAGTTGTTCCTTATCACTCGCCGGTTCTGAGTTTTAGCTATCGGTCACTAGTAAAATTTCACCGTATATTATTCTAATAAATAAAAATAAGAAAATTGACAACTTCACTAGCGACCGCCGGGATATAAACCCGGGACCGTGGGAATGCGTGCATTAAAAATCACAACTTGATTCCAGCCAGTCCTACGGAGAGCGCACATGGAATGTGACATATGTCACCTGAAATTGTCAAGTCACAAAGCAATGACAGAACATATGGAGCATTGGCACATGTACATTTATGAGTGTAACACATGTAAGAAACGCTTCGATAACAGGTGAGATTGACATTACATACATCCCCAAGCTCCACAGAGAGGACATAGGACATGCCCTACGACGCTTGACGTTTGAAATCGCGACGCTTTGGCGACGCTTGAAACGGTTTCCATATAAAATGTATGAAAACGTATTGACAAAGGCACACACAAGCGTCGCCAAAGCGTCGCATCTATGACAGCTAGCGTCAAAAATTAAGAAGAATGTTTGACGATTACTTGTCTGTCAACTGTCATTCTTACGTCCTATGCTCTTCGTCTCTTTGGTGGAGTTTGCGCCTAATACATATTGCACATTACATGAATATTGCACGTTACATACATATTGCAATTTAAACACATATTGTATTTACATACATATTGCACATTACCACAAATTAGGGAAACAGATGGCTCACTCTGTACTAGCGACGATTTCGAGGCTAACTAACTTTAACTGGAATCTCAGGGGAACTCAAGGCAACTAAGAAGACTACTTTTCCTAACACCCTGTATTTTCAATTTACAGAATGCAAGCGGAACTGCATCAGTCTCTTATACATGTAAAAAAAGTGTGTCGAACTTGCAAAAAGGAGTTTTCGTAAGTAAATTTATTTACCTACTGTAGAATATTAAAATGCTATGAATATTTTTGGAAAACTTCCAAAATTTCACCGCAGGCAGGATTTGAACCTGCGACCTTCGGCATCAGTACTGCCGACGCTCTAACCAAATGGGCTACTGCGGTTCTAATCGAGCCCGCGAGTTGGTTAGGGCGTCGTAAAAATTGTTTAATTTTGGTATTCATGCTATGAATAGTTTTCCGATAATACACATCTTCATTCGCAAATAGCTGCGTCCACACTGGGCGAGGCGAATCGCCGAGGCAAATGCTCGCGAGGCATACGCTCGTGCTCACCCAAGGTCATGCTCGGGCGAGCGCGCGCATTCCGAGCCAAAATCAACGCCGCTCAGACGGTGCTAGTAAGTTTATCGAAGCGTCCAAATTGGGCCGAACTTGGCTCGCCTGCACACGAGCGTATGCCGGTTCTGAGTTTTCGCTATCGCTGCATTTCACATAAGAAGGTTAGGCTGACGTTTTGTGACATAGTGTTGCCGGCACTCGACTACAAAATATTTGAGAACTAGTCTGACGGGTTCCAATCGGATCCGATGTTACCCAGAAGGGTCGATGAAAATTTAACTATATTGAACCCTTACTTTTTAACCACATTCCTTTCTTACACTTGACTTGTATATTTTTTTATGATTTTCGTTGTTTTTTATAATGTTTTACCCATGGATACCCATCCGTTGTTTACAGCACGCCAGGTGTGGCGAGCGCGTAAATGCACGCGCTAACCCACCACTTGTGTGATTCCACGTTAGGATCCGCTCATACTTAAAAATATCCGAAATCGCATCTAAAGATCCGCGCCGGCAACTTTACTAGAGATGTAGAAGGGTGAAAAGAAAATCGAACGAAAAAGAAACGATTACCTATATCGAGTATTATTACCCTAATAACCTAAAAAAGGCATTTTATTGTGTAAATATTATATACTACTTAAATAGTTATTCTTCAGCAGACGAGTCGCTTTAATTCACGCTTAAATGTATGAAAAATTGGTTGTCAATAAGATAATTGATTTGTATAATGTCTCCCCATCCCCCGACCCCCAAACGTGGAGCACAATTTTCTTTGTCTTTTTCAACCACTTTGCTCCAGTCCTTCAGTTTCATCATTTTGGTAGACAAAAACCGATTATTTTTTCGTTCGATTAAACACTACTACATCACTAGTTATTTTAAATTATAAACGTCACAGTACCCATCGGCTGTGAAATACACTATAGTAAATTTTCACCTCATATATTTATTAGTCTAAACTTTTTTTTCAGAACCGAGAAACGTTTTCAAAATCACCGGTTCGTTCACAAAATAGGTTGCAACATGTGCGAAGAGTCTGCACCTGATCCTGATAAGCTATTAATGCACCAGCTTATCGCGCATGGATATATTGTAAGTCTCTCTCTATTTTTCTCTTTTTCTCTCTCTCTCCTCCCTGTATCTCTATCTCTATTTACAATTGGAACACCATATACAATCGATAAGCCAATTGAAAGTATTCTCTCCATTTTTCTCTGTCTCTCTCTCTCTCTCTATATCTCTCTCTCCCTCTATCTATCTCTCTCTCTCTCTCCCTCTCTCTCGCTCCCTCACTCCCTCACTCTCTCTCTCTCCCTCTCTCTCTCTATCTCTTGCTTCCTCTCTCTCTCTCTCTCTCTCTATCTCTCTCTCTCTCTCTCTCTCTCTCTCTCTCTCTCTCTCTCTCTGACTCCTCCCTGTATCTCTATCTCGATTGACAATTAGAACACCATATACAATCGATAAGCCAATTGAAAGTATTAATAAGAGGATTCGATAGTAAGTAGCAACACAAACTGGTTTACAGAAGGTTCACTCGAACCTATTTCGGATTTTCGCGGTTGAGATTGGCACTTGTTACAGAGCCAGGGTATAAAAATATCGAAACAGCAAAATCTAACGTTTGATTTGATTGATATTTTTTATATAAAAATACACAAAAACAGTAAAAATAAAATAACTTTGTTTCAATTTTTATGTAACATTTACTACTATTTTTCTTAAGTTTTTTATAGTACAAGATTCCTCATTTAATTCCCGAGCGCTT